GCCCCAGCTTAAGGACTGATTTTTTCCAGGCCCTTATTTTACAATTAAGCAAAGCAAATACCAAGAGTTAAGTGACTTGCTAATTAGTTAAACAGCTAATTAAACGGCAGAGTGCTGCCTCCAAGCTCAAGCCGACCAATTCCAATTTCATATCCCTACTTCTCCACTTAACACAGCAGCAAAAGCCAAATGTAGGATATGAAGTACAAATAACTAAAGCCAGAGTAATCAATGTTTTCATTTAAAAAAGAAAAAAAACCTCTATCTTGTCCACAGAAAACGTGACTACTCTTTCAGAGGAGATGATTTCCCTTTCTGTAATGACCAATGTGAGGAAAAACGTGTGCTCCAAAATTATCTCTGAAAAACAGATACGTGCCTAGGAATTATTCTCTGCCAAGAGAATAGTGCAACATTTTGGCTCATTAAAATATAATGTTCTCATGTTTCCTATGTTCCTGCTGAAAGAACTGGGCATTATTGTTGGTAGGTCAACTGTGTCTACTTAATCACACACCAGAAATGACCCAGCAACAAAAAAGCTCTTTAACAGCAAAAAAGCTAAAACAGAGTGAAAGAAGCCACTAACCAAATAATATTATATGCATTTATTGCAAATGCAGGCAAAGTGAATCTGTGCTGCCAGAATTCAGAATCATGATTTCCCCTGAGGGGTGCAGGTTGCGGTGGGAGGGGTAGGAGGGGGCTGATGTTTGGTCGCTAGTAACACAGGTGTGTTGTTTCCATTCAAGCCATAGACTTAGATGCACCTAACTATATGTTGTGTGTCAATAAAATAGTCAAAACACACATAAAACCAAGATGTAGAGATTTTAGATAAGCAAAGACTAGCTCTAAAATGTGTTTTTCATGCCAGAAACATTTTACAGTCATCTATTCCACATGTACAGAGTCACAGCAGTGTAGGGACATCTACCAGGAAGGACCTTGAAGTCTATGGTTTTTTCAAAAGTACAGAGAGCAGAAAGGAAATAATTGCCATTACCTCAGGGAAGGTGAGGTCCGAGACAGTGAGTCAGCCTCAGCTGGGGAGGTGTTTAATAATTAGTAACGGGACACACATTGACTCAAACCAGACGATGCTATGACCATGCGGGATCTGATGTGTCCCATGACTTGTTGGTTTCTTGGCTTGAAAAAGAAAGATTTTTATTTCCCTTTAGCCCTGTGAAATTTTATAAATTGGAAACTGCTTAATTCCAGAAGGTCTAAATTTTTCTATTTTTAGATTATTAACAGATGTTTTTATTTCTTATTGAAATGATATTTCCTTGAACTATGTCCCAAATGGCAGTAAAATGCATTCATATGTATAAATGCAAATTCAGAAAATGAGATCACATTGTGTTAAACACATTCAAATCTTTTGACCCCAATTCTGTTTTTCTAAATAAACATAGATGAACAAAAAATTATGAAATAAATTTTAAATGGTAATTTTTAAAAGCAAAAAGTTGTAGAATACCTTACATAGAATAATGGAATAATAAATTATGCCCCATCCACACCAAGAACAGCTATATGTTTTTTTCTCTTAATGACATATTATGACATCTTTTTGAGTTTACCTCATTCCCTGATATGGATTTATCATAATTTAACTCATCTCCTGCTCATAGACATTTTACATTTACCTGTTCTATCACTAATATAGTGATCATTGCACATAGCTCTTTGGGTACACCTTTGGAATGATCTCTATTAATGGCAATGCTGAATCAATGGATATGCCAAAATTTTTGACATTTATTGCCAAATTTTAACTCTAAAGGCCATGTGTGAATAGAACCCATTTTTTCATACCACCACCATTGATTATTGATTTTAGTAATTTTGTTGACCTAGTAAGTAAAGCATTTTATTTTATTCTTCCTATTTGCACATCTCCAATTAAAATTAAGATCGAGGGTCTTTTCATGTTAATTGCCCATGTGATTGACTCTTCATATTCTTTCTGCGATCTTCAATTGAATTGGTTACATTTTTCCTATTAATTTATAGAAGCTCTTTTATGCATTGTTAAATCCTTGTTATTTTTATCAACCTGTTGAAGCTCTACTGATCCCACATATTATTATCACTCATGTACCTTTCAGTATGAAAATTTTTCTAACTTTTTATAAATTCTTTTTTTCGCTTTTGTGTCATGCTTTCCCTATGCCAGTTTTAAAGATATTGCCTGTATTTTCTTTTAGTGCTTTCATTGCTTTAATACTAGGTGAAGATATTTATTCATCCAGAAATTATTTTTGTACGTATGTATGTACTGCTGTGGTAGCTAGTCTCCAGGTTGGTCCTCAATTATCCCTATGTCCTGGTATTCACACTGTCTTGCAGTTCCCTTGTATAGGGTTGGTTCGCGTGACCAATAGAATATGGCAGAAGTGATGCTATGTCACTTCCACTATTAGGTTATCAAAAGATGGCTTCCTTCTTGGGCTCCTCCTCTCAAATCACTCAGTCTGGGGGAAGCCAGCTATTATTCCATGAGGACATCCAGGCAAGCCAGCTAACTGTAAGCTCTGGCTAAACGTTAGCAGGGAACTGAGGTCTGCCAACAATCTTGTGAGTTAGCTCGGAAGCAGATCCTATAACCTTTAGATGACTGTAAGCGCCAATCAACTGCTTGGCTGAAACCTCACGAGATGCCCTGAGCCAGAACCACCCAGCTAAGCTGCTCCCAGATTCCTGAACCACAGAAATTGTGCCATAATAAATGTTTATGGTTTTAAAGTTGCTAAATGTTGGGATAATTTGTTCCACAGCAGTAGGTAACTAGTTTAACTACTTCTATAATCAGAACAGACTTTATTAAACAACAACAACAACAACAGAGGAACTTGTCTTTCAGAGAAAGAGAGCTTTGGGTTTGAGGATTTGTTAAGTCTATGCTGTTTGAGTATTTACCCCATGCTCACTTAACCTGAAGTCACTATCTCAAGTTCAGTTTGGGAAAAATAGTCTGCGGGAAAATGTTAAGTAGTTCATAATTGTTACAGTTATAGATTAGAAAATAGCAGCATAAGTATTGGTCCCTGAACATGGGACCTTCTAGTTCCATCTTTGTCACTAACTCTGAGATCCTGGACAACTTTGTAATTTTCTGGGTCTCAGTTTGGTTGCCTTAGAAATCATGGAGAAAACAAATTCCAGTATATTCTAACCTAGTGACCCTTCCACTTTATATTCATGTTTATTTAAAGTGAAGTGATACCTCTCTTACATATTGATATATAAAAGTAAATATATTGTTTGAGCCCAGGAGTTTGAGCTTGCAGTGAGCTATGAAAATGCCACTGAAGTCTATTCTGGGAAATAGAGCCAGACTCTGTCTCAAAAAAAAAAAGAAAAAAGAAATTTAAATATAAAACATATATTCCTGTTCTGTATGTTCATGAAAAAAAAGAAAAAAAAAAAGAAAAAAAAAACCATATAAAGTCAACAAAATTTTTATCTTAAGTTGAATGTAATTTTCAACATTTTACCATAAATTTTGTTGATATATTAGAGTTGCAGATTTAATTTATGGAATGTGCCTGCTGTGTCTCCAATTGTAGTCAGCAATTGTCAAGTTAGCTGGCCAAATTTACTTTTCAATTAAAATTTTCATTTTTTTTCAATTCAAATAAACACATTAATAGACATTCTATAATGTGACTCCTATTTAAATTCATAATTCTAAGTTTTGATAGATGGAAGGGTAGGTAAATAGAGACTTGCCATGAATCAGTGGCCTGGAAGAAATCAGGCCTCCTCCAACTTCAGTTTGCAGCTTTTCTCCCAAGGGACTAGCCTATAAGAGCAACACATTCTAGAATTGTCCTTTTGTTTAGTGCCATATGTTTTTTATCCCTAGGGCAGTGTACCATATTGGGGCGGATGAGTTATTACTTTCTTTTATAAAAGAGGAGAAGGGCAATTGTGAAAGAGAAGACTGGGAAGGAAAACCAGCTCCAGCATATGAAAGAGGGACATTATCAAGTAGGTCAATTTAGGAAAGAATATGAATGTCTCCCCAGGGCTGTGCTGTAAAGCTATTTATTCTCTGACTTTCAATCATACTTGGCCACAGTCCTCCTGTCATTATTTCCTGTATAATGAAAATAACATTTTCACATCTGGATGCTTTTTCAAAAAGATCTATTCAAATTGATATTTCTCTGTCCATTGTTGGGACAGAGAACTTGACAGTGTTCAAACTAAATGGCAAGAAAGACATTTATCAAAAGTTTAGCATCTAAAAGATGGGAAGAATCCATCATGTTACAGATTTAGGTATGTGGTGAAGTCATAGGAAAAATATATGTATTTTTTTCTTCCTGAAGACAAACAGGAAACTAGAAAACCATCTTTTGATACACGATGATGACCCAACAATTATAAAGTTTTTCTTATATTTACCCTAATGAGTTTATTGCTTACCATTGTCTCCTATTTTCGTTTCAACTCTGATTCAGATAAAATGTTTGCTTTCTTTGAGATTACTATCAGCAATAGGGCAGAATACCTTAAGTTTTTCAAGAATTTTTGCAATAAAACTGTAAGTTTTCCTAAAAGGTCAGATGTTTTACACTGTTACTATTGAGAACAGAATAATTTAAAGAATAAAGTCACCTTGTTCTATGAATAAAAATAAAGACCTATTTACATGTATAAATCTTTCGACTCTCCTCTAAGTAGGGAGGAAATAGTGCTGAAAAAAAACATAAGAAATGGAACATATACTTATATGTCTGATTATGAATAATATAACCTCATGGTATAATGCGACATGCATGTATTTTGGGGGTTCATTTCTACTTCACTATCAGGACAACTGAAATGTATTACTTATGATGATGACAGGAACAGAGTAGTTTTTATGGACGACAAAATATAACCATTCACCATTTTGGATCGGGCGAAAAATATAACACTGAAATGCCACCTGTGAAAGAAGTCGTGCACAGTAAAGAAATAAAAGCTTGGAAGCTATAAGCCCAGATTTTTAAAAAGCCATTTATTTTAAAAAACTGGTTTGTCAAATCACATACACGAGCAGATACACAACTACCAAAGTGGCCCTGTAATATAGACACCAGTGGGGCGTTCACCACATAGTACCTGAAAAATACAGCTAAAAAAAAAAGGAGTCTGTTGAGTATTTAATTTCAGATTCCTACTTGACTCCTTGTTGAATGGCTTTAAGTTAGCATATCGTGAGTGAGTGAGAGGTAGAGTCCCAAGTATAATAGCTGATGCCTCAGGGCTCCATTTAAAAACAAAACAAAAACAAAAACCATTTCCCCCTCTGCAGAAGGGAAGCCTATCCTATTTTTTTTTTTTTTCCTTTGTGAAAACAGAAGCCAAGTTTCTCTTCCCAAATGGTTCAGCACTCCCAATCAAGAAGTGTCATGTGGTCAACTCGGTATTGTGCTTGTTGAGCCATTTAATTTTCTTCACCTTCCGATTCAGATTCTAGGAAAGAAAGAAAAAGAAAGAAGTCAGGCATTTCCCCCCAGATCTCTTTATACAAGGTCGAGAGTTTCTAGTCAACCCTTTCCCCCCCTAAACACACAACCTCGCCATCACCCCAGGACTCTTTCACTGTGTGCACCCATTTATTATATACAGTTATATATAAGTGCAGATAACAAACTCTTGCTCCTTTTTGCTTTCAAGTGAAATTTGCCTTTCTAAAAACACAACATGCTTGTATATATCATTGGACAATATAACTTTTTTTCTTCTTTGGATCACCTAAGATAAACTTTTTATTCTTAGTTGGATCCACTCTGATCCATTATTATTCTTCCACCTGGTGTTCCCATTTCAAATACCAGTCAACTGGTGAAGGTATTTGACTATAAAAACCTATAGTGTCCCATAATGTGTGATAGAGCCAAATGTATTTTTTTCTTTTCACATGTGCTGATTATTTCTTCCTCGTTGTCCTCCATTAATTTTTTTTAAACCATGTTGAAATTTTTATTGCTTTGATTTTAGAAAGGAGGGCTAAGACGTAGGCAAAATGTTTGATATGAAAGATACCTCAAGAACATACCTCAAGAACTTAAGGCAGCAAGAAAAATCTGGGGGAGAGGTAAATATTTTGAAGTATCATGAGAAAGTATTTGTTTAATGACCATCAAAGTTGTTAAATGGGAGCATACCTTCTTCTGCATTTTGTAACCACTCAACAAATTTCTTCATCTGGTCAAGAAAAACACTTTTGCCTTTAGCAACGTGTGCTTCTTTATACCATTTCAATATCGCTTCTTCACTTAGAACATCAGCTGTAATTTCAAAGCAAAGATTTCAAGTTACTATACAAATGTCATGCTTTAGAACAACTTCATCTTTTATAGTTTAACACAAAGTAATCTTTTTTAATAGTGAACACTCTATGATAAAAGTAATCTATATCTGAAACTTATCAAAAGAAAGGAACCAGGCTCATTTCCATGTAGCACAATGCCACATTTTGACAGTGAGCATAATAAAGACTTCAGGGATGACGACATACATCATCAGGCATGATATAATACAAGCCTATAGGTCACACTGCTGAAACTTGGAAATCTCTTACAGTGCTAATTTGCTGGTAGAAAGCAGAGTTACTTTGTGATTTTGCAAATGAATCAGCAATTCCAGCATTTCAGAATACTCTATGTCCTGCCAAATTCAATCATCTTTATTAAGAAGCAACCTCAAATGACTGGTCCTTTAAAGGGATTTTCTTTTTTAGGAGAAAATGGCAAAGGGACGAAAATATAGACCAGTACACAATAATGATGGTAACAATCAGATATAAAGATGAGCTCCTGGGGTATGTCATGGAATCAATATATTCATAAGCCAAAGTTCTACACTTATTCCATCACTAAATACCTAATTTATTTTCCTAAAGCATAATATCCTAAATTACAAAAGCAATTATTTTTCTACTACTACATTTAGAGAAAAACAGAGACATAGAGTTCCTGTAGGTTTCTAATTAAAAATGCTAACCATTACCTAAAAATCTAAATTCCACAAGTGTGCCTTGATACCCTCATTACCATTAATTGAGAATATATAATGTTAAGAAAAGGAAAATAACATCCTACACACGATGCCAATGTTCTAATGGGTTTTCTTTTAGGATTTTGGAGTGGGAAATGAGATAGTAAATAAAAAGCATTTATTATTATTCCCAGTGTGTGTGTCCAATCCATTATAAATGCTGACAAATCCATGCAAGGTTGACAAATCTCTCTAATAATGTATTTTCAATTAAAATATAATTTTGACCTATGAAAATGACAGAAATCATTTAACATTTTTTTCACTTAAAGCAGCACCGACCTTTTTATAATCAAAACATTAAGTTTTTCCCCATCCTTTTTAAAAAAATTAATAATTCTTGGAAAAAGCTCTTGAATTAAATTGAAGAAATTAAACTGACTACAAATGAACATGATTGGTTTTAGAAAATTTAAGTATTTTGTTTATTTTTATTATTCAATACACTACATTTTGCAAAGGAAGGAAGAGGTCTGTATGTATTCATTTATAAGCACTGGACACAAGAGTTATAATCAGCAGTCCCAAAGGACTATTCTTATCTTCTAGCTTTTTAGTTCCTTCTGTTTTCATTCTCCACTCAGAAAGATGAAGGAAATTTCCACTAGTCATCAAAGCCCAATTTTCGTAAGAGGGGAGGAGCAGACAGTTGTGGACCCAGGAAGTGACCTGTTATTGTACAAGACTGCCCTATAGAGAATTTTCTAGAACATTAATAGGGATTTTAAAAGTCCCTTTTATATAATTTATAAATTATCTTTAAGATGCTCATGACTTAGATCAGCAATTATCGAAGTGTTTTGATTATGATTCCTTATCAGTAGGACAATTTTGAGTAAGGACACCCAACATGTATATTTTTGAGTTTATAAATTATATGCATGTACTATTAAATTCTTCTTCTTCTTAACGTTATAAAACAAAAAAATAGAATTAAAAATGTGACAAACATATAAAGGGAAAGTTCACTTCTTTTCTCTGCACCTTAATGAATTGAGGATGATACAAAGTACATGTCAGAAAGCTGATTTAGACTGCAGTTCAGTGATATTTGTCTGAGGCTTCCTTTTGAAGGTCAAGAGCTCATTCCTGTGTTTTATTGCCCCATAGAGGCTAAAGGAGGCCATGCAACCGCTAAAATGCTTGTCAATGACAGTGCTTGTGAAAAGGGTATGAAATGACAGGTAAAACCTAGCAAATGCATTTTTCACCAAAAATCACATAAATGACGCCAAGTTGCATTCTTATAAGTTAGGTGCCCTTTCTCTGCTGTCCTACCGCTTCTGACACCCTCTCTATGAGGTTTGTTTTAGCAACTGACATGGTGACTATAATTCTTTGCTTTCTTCTATACCTGGAAATTCAGGAAGTCAGGGACTACTTTGTTCACCTAATTTCCAGCATTTAATTGTAAGACCTGCCATATAGGATGCATTCAACATGTGTATAATGAATACATTTATTAACTTGATGAGAAAAATTAAAAATGTCTCAATTCGTGGAGCTCCAATTTAAAATTTGGGAGTTCACGAGGATCAAAGAGACTGTAAGGGTAGTTTGAAAATTGTTAAACTTTACATAATGTTAGTTATTTGGATAGTTAAGTCTAAAACTATGTCACTTGGAACTTAGGAAATTCAGAATTTTTTTATTAAGGATGTCACACAGGGACACAAGTCAAAAATAATTTACTCTAAGAATGCTGGGAATATATGCTGAGAAGGGTACTCATCTTTTTTTAGAACAAGAATTAAGAAACTCCTTTTAGAAAAATTTGCATGAGGGACAGAGTTTAACCTAAAAAAATTCTGTAAACAAGAAAACTCATGATAGAGATAATAATAGTAACTGAGAAGGTAGTTTTATATTTTTTAGCAGAGTCTATGACACTTACCTTTAGGAAGGAAGATAAATTATTTTAACAAGTCAATAATGTGATGTTTGAAAGTTAGCAACGGATTTATTATTTCTTATTGTCTCAGAAATGTAAAAATGACCAATCACCACTTTCTTTGCTGACAAGCATTATATATAGTTTACTCACTCCTATTCCAATTTTATATAAAAGATTTAAAATTCTTTAAAAAATGACATTCAACAAAGTAATTAGGCTTACCAAAGGGGCAGGGGAATCAAATCCCCATGTTTCTGTTATCCTCAAGTTCTGGGAATGTTTGGGAAGGGGTGTGTACATGCGTGTGTTGTGTGTATGAGAAAGAGAGAGAAAAATGAAAAAGGAACAAGGGTTTCCACTACATTTTTAAACGCCTACTTTAAAACAAAATCTTCCTTATAATAAACAAAAACAACCCACATCACTAGATAAAAGCAGCAGGAAAAACACTATTTAATGTTTATAAAATATGTATATACACATGGAATCAATGATCAATACATTCTTGAACATGTTATTTTAGTTTGTAGAATTTGTTGCTTTTTGAATGCCATATCTTTTAGGCCCTGGGATAAAAGTCACAGCATCACCTGGAAGCTTATTAAAATGCATATTCTCATGGCCGGGCGCGGTGGCTCACGCCTGTAATCCTAGCTCTCTGGGAGGCCGAGGCGGGCAGATTGCTCGAGGTCAGGAGTTCGAAACCAGCCTGAGCAAGAGGAGATCCCGTCTCTACTATAAAAGAAAGAAATTAATTGGCCAACTAAATATATAGAAAAAGATTAGCCGGGCATAGTGCCGATGCCTGTAGTCCCGCTACTCAGGAGGCTGAGGCAGTAGGATTGCTTGAACTCAGGAATTTGAGGTTGCTGTAAGCTAGGCTGATGCCACGGCACTCACTCTAGCCTGGGCAACAAACGATGACTCGTGTCTCAAAAAAAAAAAAAAAAAAAAATGCATATTCTTTGACCCAACCCTGGACTTAATGAATCAGATCCCTGGGGAATCTCTCCTCTAACAAGCTTTCCAGGTGATTCTTACTTATGAACATCAGAGTGGGGAAAGGAGTGCTTTAAACTCATTGTTCACCAAGCCTCTCTAGGCAGATAAAATACGGAACAAGAGCATCCAGATCCTTATAGAAACAAATCAAATACATGTCTCTGGTGCACAAGAGTTTGGTGGACAAAATAAAAAACTGGCAAAAAAGAGATAAGGTAAACAAAGACAGTAATGCTCTTAATAGTGGTGTGGAACAATCATTCTTTAGGGATTCCATGTTCTCAAGAGGAAACATGTAATTATTTCATCCAGGAAAACATAGTGTAGGTGTATGACTTTGTGGAAAATTACAAAATTACCTAAAAAATGATATTTAAAATATCTCAGTGATATATTTTAGGTTTCCATTTTTAAACGAGTTTCCTGATTTCATTTCTAAAACCAACTAACCCAGAATAAAACTGATGTTGACATTTACCCTTCCCGTGCTCCTGTGGGTCTGCTCGTACTTGCCACAGACCTTACTAACTTTGTGTTATTAGTATTTAGAAGCTAATGACCTACTTAATGAATGGCCTAAGGAAGAGCTGATGCCTCTTTCTTTTTACTTCCTGTGCTCACTTCTTGGGTTATTTTATAATTTCAGGTCACTGTCCCATAGCATTTGGGGCTGAAGAAAAAGAGAAAACTCAAAAGTAGCCAGTTTTTCTACCTGTCAGTAGTTGTTATAAAGATATGTTCATGGCTAAAATGAGAAATCTGAAGAAAGATTTAATAGTTCATATGTGACCTGAATGCCATTACCAATAGCAAATGGTTTGTTAATTCTTTTGTGAAATAAGTACAACAAAAAAATGGAGTGATCCTGTAGATGAGGCTCAAACAACTATGTCTCAGTTTAAAAAAAAATCTGGGTCAGGTGTGGTGGCTCACACCAGTAATCCTAGCACTCTGGGAGTCCGAGGAGGGCGGATAGTTTGTACTCAGGAGTTTAAGACCAGCCTGAGCAAGAGTGAGACCCTGTCTCTACTAAAAAAAAAAAAATAGAAAGAACTTAGCTGGACAACTAAAAATTAACAGAAAAAATTAGCCAGGCATGGTGGTGCATGTTTGTAGTCCCAGCTACTCAGGAGGCTGAGGCAGGAGGATCGCTTGAGCTCAGGAGTTTGAGGTTGCTGTGAGCTAGGCTGACATCACAGCACTCTAGCCCAGGCAACAGAGCAAGACTTTGTCTCAACAACAAAAAATCTGGTAAGAAACACTGTTTGGTTGTGTCAGCTGTTAAACGAGAAGGCGGAAAATTGTGTTCAGGTACGTTTATGAATAGTTTGCTCTTCTGTAGTGGAAAAAGGTGACCACCCTCAAAGCAAATGTGGAACCCATCCCTAGGTCTCGCTACCAGTCTTACAAATGGAGGCAGCTGTGGCAAATGTGGACAGAATGGCTACTGGCTGTGTGGACCCTGCCTTTCATTCTTGGCTGCTGGGTACCACATGTGGATTGGCAATATGGCCTGCAGGTTTGGTTCTAATGGATCACTTTGGGTATCATTTGGTGAGCCCTAATTTTAGGATGCTATTATCTCATGACCACATCCAAAAAGACCTAACTCAGATCTGGCCAGAGAAAACACCAATTACTGAACTTCAAATGGGAATTGGCAGCCATCATATTCTCCTACTGGCATAATAATCATTGTAGAATATCTTAGTGTTCTGAAAATGTAAGATATCACCCAAACACTTGTGGGCAAGATGCATGCATTTGAAGAGTATACATGGCCAATTAAAATTCATTCTGAAATGTTATTAAACATTGTAAAAATAGCTATTAATACTGCTAAATTTTTATATTCCAAATTTCCAAGTTATTCAAATAGGCACATTTAAGAACACATCAAAGGGAAAATAAACATTTGGCTAGTATTAATTTATACTTTTTAATATTTTGTGAATATGATGCCATTATTAATAAAATACTGTTTAAATAAGCATTTTCTAATGTTCAGAATATATCATTTTCTTAAGTGCTCCTTTATCTCCCTCATAAAGCTATATAAATCTAGACTAAAAAATAGTCCAAGATCATTTTTTATATGCTGTGGGTATAAAGATTGAGATCAGTTAAAACCTTTAGCATTCATTTTTTTAGTGCCAGTTGTCATGGCAACTTAATCCTTATAAATACAATGAAAAGACAGTAAATGTGAAAACCTAAAAATAGCCATTTCCTTGGAAAATAGGAGAATGGCTGGGCAAAATAAACTAAAATACAAGTAAAAAGGGCTAATTATGTCAGTAATCTTAAAGTCAGCTTTGTGGCACCTAAAAGGGTCTGAACATAACATATATACAGCATTTTGATAATCACTGTTATTAGAGCTAATCCTTACCTTTCAAAAACAGACTCGATTTTATATAATCACATTTTTTCACCATGCCCCAAGAAACAATAACCAGTTCACCACCAGTCTTCTGGCAACTTCCACCAGTAAGAAGTGCCTAGGGGCCTGATTTGGATGGTTCCTGAGGTGATGGGGACATACATGGCAGTGTGACTTCTCTCGCTACATAATATGGTTTTCTCACTAAAACTTACACAAATTAGCATATTGCTGTCCCCCGTGCCAAACAGGGACTCCAAGACCTCCTCTCCTTGCCCCCTGCTCTGCCCCTCAAAGAGTGTCGATAAAACATGGAAAAAGAGTGGTGGAACTGCATGGATGGCTACCTTTATAAAAGAGAACCACAATCTTCTGAAAGGCTTTCATGAAGTGTATGTTGTCGTAACAGTATTCCTGAACCTTCTGGAGGAGGATCAGCTCAGACTGGCCTTGGGAGCTGAACACAGCCAGCAGGGGCGCATATTGCTGGAACAGAAGTGGAGAGAAAAAAAACATTACGCTGCTGGAATCATCACCATAATCTGGAGGTCTGCTTTGAAAACATTCACTTTTAGGATTAATGTCTTCCATTGTGCCCAATCAAAATGAATGCTTTTTATCCCAGCATCTTATCAGATTTTTCTCACTGTATCCACTAAATGATGAGACCAAATATGAGAATCTGCCTCTATTAATGGTAACTGCTGTGTCCACTATGTCTGATGGATATTGTGAAAATGAGGTTATATCCTCATACAATATCCGTTGTATCAATGGAGTGTGGCTCTGCCATCGTTCCCCCCAGGTGTCCCAGACCCCTTACAGGTCAACTGTACCACCTTGTTCCTATTGCTCCCTTCACCCCAAATGTCTATGGCTTTCAGTCCCTGATGTGTAGCCATTGTTTTCTCTATCACCCACCCAAATCAGCACTTATCTCTACCAACAAGACTTCCCTGATCAAACTAACACAGTTTACTCACGGCTATGTTCTCAAGAACACTGAAATTTATCTCTCTAACTTATATTCTACCTAATTTATGTCTGCCTTTGACTTCCCAATTCAAGTGCAGATTCTGAAGGCAGGATCTAAGTAACTCTTCCACTTATCTTAACATAGTCTTATAGGGAAAAGACAATTAAGAAAAGCAAAGCCACATGTATTGAGGCACAAAAACACATAATTTACACAATCAGCTGATTTCTTCCACCACTCAGATACTTTTCAAATTCTAAAAGTGGCCCACTTAAACAAAAATAGTCAATAAGAGTTTTTTGTCATATAGAACAGAAAGAGAGCCAAGAGACTGTATTTCTTTTTAAGACTGTATGTGATGATTCTGTAGATTTTCTAATATTGTTTTAAAGAAGAACTGACCCTTAGATATTTCATAGGCTCTTACATCTGAAACTTTTCAGGCAGTGGCAAATTCGAAATCAAGCATATGTTTAGTCTGAGTCTGGGGGAAACGCAGTTGGAACCCATTTGTCATACTCTTAAGAGCTGCAGCTGGCCTGCAGCTGGGACAGTTCCTTGCTAAGACCATTTACCTTCAGGTGCTTGAGAGCCTGCTCTGCAACGAGTTCTTCCTTCTTGTTCCATTCAACGGCATTCATTATACAGGTCCACAGAAGTCCAATAACTGCTGTTTCTGGAAGATCATTCCTCTTCATCTCTTCTTTGACATAAAGCACCACCTACATTTCATGGAAAAGGTGTCAGAAAGGAAGAGGCAGTTGGAAAGATTCCTCCCTCATTGCCCAGTCAATAAAAGGTTCAGGGCAGATAAGAAATAATCTGCTCAGCTCCCTCTTTCCTGGTATGTATACTGAGATTAGAAGAGGGAGGGAAAATATAATAATTTGTTCTGAAAGCAGATGTATTTTTAGTCCAAAAATTTAATAGGCTTAGCTTTGGCCAGGAGCTGCAGGATAGCATGGAATAAGAGAATCTTTGTTTCTTGGGAGTTATGTTTTTTTAAATTTTTTTTTGGAGACAGAGTCTTACTCTGTTGCCCCAGCTGGAGTGCAGTGGTATCATCACAGCTCACAGCAACCTCAAACTCCTGGGATCAAGTGATCCCCCTGCCTCAGCTCCTGAGTAGCTGGGACCACAGCGTGTACTATCACACCCACCTAATTTTTCTGTTTTTTATAGAGACAGGGTCTCACTCTTGTTCAGGCTGGTCTCGAACTCCTGACTCCCAAAGTGCTAGGATTACAGGTGTGAACCACTGTACCCAACAAAATTATTCTCTTATATAGTGGATCCCCTTTGGAGGCTAGGATACCTGAAACAGTCTGACTTTCTTGGGATTTGAAGAAGGCAATAATAGAGTTGTGAATTTTTACTTTTATCCCTCAACTTAAAAACCTCTTCATGAGTTTGCACAAGTCCATTCTCCACACATTTATTCTTCAATCATTACTTTCATGATGCACATGACCCAGCTCAGTGAAAAGTTAGTTTGTAAATAAACCATTAAGTGCAAAGGCAAGTTTTTAATTTGATACATATCAATTCAGCAATGCCCAGCCAATTATTGTCCACTTAGAATTAGGTGTAAACAGGCAAATTTATTCTTAGCCCTGATAGTATGGAATATAGGTCTGCCAAACTTAACATATTTTATATCAAGTTTATTTAGGAATGCTTTTTCCTTTTAAAATAAAATCACAAATAGAGGTCAGGTCCTCAGAAGTAAGGGCTTCAGAAGTGATTAAAAACCATAATATATTTCAAGTGTACTACTTTGTGAGTAATAGAACAACTTTTGTTTCCTTTTCTTTTTTAGTGAAAATATATTGCTTTCTTTCCTTGTGGCCTGGATTGCAGAAATGTCAGCAGTGGGTTGAGTAGCTTTTGAGAGTGGAAGGAGCTGAGAAGTCCCTCCTGAGCTGCCTGGAGGAATCTACAAAGAAGGGTGACATCCTGCATCTAAAAGTAACACGGTGGCTTTTGTTTTGATTTTTTTCCCATGGAAAATCATATATGAGTTCTTACTTGGAGAAATATTATTGAATATATTGCTAACTTTAATGCCATGAGACTTAAGAATGCATGTTGCTCCAATATCTCCATCTGCTGGATAGTGTCAGCCTGGAATTCTCTGGCCTTCAGCAGTGGGAGGTGCCTTGCAGGGATTTACAGTGTGGTAGAAGGTGGTGAGGGAAAGGGCTTTGGGAGCAAGTTGAAAAGGGAAAGGACTCTCTTCAATTTAATTTTTAGAGTGTCATGTGAAAGTTTTTTTTTTTTAGTTCAAATAGGAAGTTTTCTCTAGACACATTAAAAAAAAAATACAATCATAGCTTTATGACCGATAGCAGTGGTCCCCAACCTTTTTTGGCACCAGGGACTGGTTTCATGGAAGACAATTTTTCCATGGACTGGGTGAGTGGTTGGGGGGTGATGATTCAAGTATATCACATTTACTGTGCAAACCTCTCTGCTAATGATAACTGGTATTTGCAGCCGCTCCCCACTCAGATAATCAGGCATTTGATTCTTGTAAGGAGCCCGCAACCTAGATCCCTCGCATGTGCAGTCTACAAGAGGGTTTGAGATCCTATGAGAATCTAATGCGATGTTGATCTGAGAGTAGGTGGAGCTTATGTGGTGATGTGAGGATGGGGAGTGGCTGTAAATACAGATGAAGCTTAGCTGGCTCACCTGCTGCTTACCCCTGCTGTGTGGCCCAGTTCCACAGGCCATGGACCAGTACAGGTCTGTGGCCCAGGGTTTGGAGACGGCAAAACTATAGCACGTATACACAAACTATGATACATGGCTGTTAAAAATGTAGTTTTTATGTTATGGGGACATACAGCTATCGTGCGTGTGAGTAGGCTCAAACAACTCACTGATCCAACTGGTCTCTTCCCATGATACGAATTCAAACTTTTCTTTTTCAAATAAAAAGCCTACGTATTCATACACAATAATGCACAAAAATCCAGTGTAGATTTCCAAACACTAACCAAATGCTTACAGAGTTTAGATAATCTGCAACAAATTAAAACCATCATATCATGATATTTCCTTATACTGATAGTGGATGGTCAAATCTATTTGACAAGATGAAATATTTTGATAATTAGAGCAGCCTGATAGAATAATTAATTTGTGTGGACATAATTATTAATGTCTGAGACATCCTAGAGTGAGATAAAATGTAGGATTCTGAATCAATACTTTGAAACTGAATTAATTTAAATGGTAGGAACAAGTGCATAAAGTTTATAGCAATACACGGAAGGGCTGTCTCCTCCAGAGAGGTAAAGCTTGTGCTACAGTCTATGTAATTCCTCTCAGCCGTGTATTTTGCAGTGACGGCCGCTGGCCGTCTCCTACCTCCTTGATTGGGCATTCCTGAGAAAGACGCTCTTGGAGCTCCTTCTGCAGTTCCTTCCTGGTACCCAGCGACTGCTGGACTCGGAGGAAGTCGGAAAGCTCCTTCAGACCTGCGTCAGTGAAGTATTTAGCAAAATGATCCACACTCTGTCTGTTAACTGGAAAGAGTTCCTGAAGGAAAAAGGAAAAAAGACTGTTATACAACTACAGCAAGCCATTCAAATTTCAGCAAGCATAAAGGGCAAAATCTTCATTTCACTTAGAATACTTCTTTTGGAAGAAAAGAAGGACTGATTTGCAAAACAATAAATCTCTGGCATATTTATTGAGCCAAACACCTTCTAAAACCAGGAAGTTTTGCAAAGAAAGAAAACATACTAAGCAACTTAGATAAAACTAGCTCCAATCATTTTGGACCATCATTTCATTTTTCATTTATTTTACTCAAATATAGCATGTGTAAATACAGAATCAAATTTACTAAATGAAACACAAATAAGGTAACTTTGAATAATGTTTGGATTGTTTTAACCTGGGAAGAAAAAAACCTGAAACCATTAGATAATCACACTGTTTATCTATTCATGGATTAATGGGTTAGTTATCTTGGGAGAACTGGTAGCTTTATAAGAAAAGGATGAGACTTGAGATAGCACACCAAGCCACCTGGTCATGTGATAACCAGAGCCTCCCTGGGACTCTGTAGATGTAGAGTCCCCACCAGCAAGAAGGCCCTCACCAGACGCAGACCCTCAACCTTGGACTTCCCAGCCTCCATAACTGGAAGAAATAAAGTCCTTTTCTTTATAAATGACTCAGTTTCAGGTATTCTGTTATAAGCAATAGAAACGGACTAAGACACCCACCCTACTAACTCTTCTTTTTATTACATAATCTGGGTGGAAATTAACAAAAAGAGAATACACTGTAGCTGCTCTCATATTTTCACCTCATTTCCATATTACCCTACACAGCTTGGCAGAGTCTCAGTAACACTTAGTCATGATCTAATCCTGTGTGAGATCAACACCCCAACTATGAAATTAAGGCAATTTTCAAAGTTCTCTCATTTTGCAGACTGCTGCAGAGTCTAAAAAATAGATCCTAACTTTCTGCATTGGTTAGATTTGCATATATGTGGCCAATAGCTATGTGGCTGCAGTAATAGTCTCAGCAGAAAGATCTGCAATGGGTTTGCCACCATATATCGGAACAACATAGCCTATGTCAGGGCTCAAATTTCAATGTTCTCTGTATTATCATCCTATAATTTCTCCTGTTGAGTCATATGTTTCAAAATGTCAGAACAGAGTTGATGGTAGCAGCTATCAAACACACGTTCACGTTAAAGCAAACATTTCATATTACACTAAAATTGCATCACTGACATTTCTACTGTCATTGAAGATCTACCAAACTTGTGGGACAGGGAACTAATTTAATTTTATTGAGTTATTCCTATGAATCAAGATGTACGGGCACTTTCTCCTCACAATAATCGTGCAAAGTAGAAATTTTTCCAGATAATTAAGTTCCAACAAGGTTAAGTAGGTTGACCCACTTTATGCAGTCAGAAATATTTAAGAATAAGCTGTGTGGCCCCAAAGTCAATACTTATTCCATTACTTTGGGCTGGCACTCAATATTCTATTTAGGAAGAGTATGATCACAAACTTTGATTTAAAGTTATGTTCAGAGCAATATACCATCAAACATATTACCAGTAGTTCATGTATGAACTATATCCCAAGTCCTTATGAATGGTATGTAATGTATTGAAAATTATTATTCAGGTTAAAATGAGGTGAAGCCAGTCTAAATCATACCATGTCATTCTCAGGCTTGGAACATGGTTTGTAGTTGTTAGAGAAACCCTACCCTGGTACAAATCTCCATCATCTCCCTAGAATAAGGTCTCCCTGCTTTTGCCTTTGCTCCTGGGTCCATTCCCAGAACAACAGCAAGAGTGATGCTGTTGAGACTTAAAATCATACTATATGGCCAATTCTGCAGAGAATTTTCTCAAACCTTTTCATCTCACTCAGAATAAATGCCAAAGTCCTGATCTCCCCCATGCTCTTACTCTTACCCACTTTTTCCTTCCTGTCCCCCAACATGTCATGCCTCAAGACCTTTGCATTTTCTGTTCCCTTTGTCTGGAATACTCTTCCTTGAGATACCTTCGCAGCTCACTCCCTCACTTCCTTCAGGTCTCTACACAAATGTCACCTTATTCCAGAGGCCTTCCCTGACCACTGAAAATCACATCCCACATCTGATGCTCTTTAGCTCTTCCCTACTTGATTTTTTTTCTTCATAATACTTTTTACCTTTATTAGAATACATGTTTACTCATTTAGTTTTTTGCCCACTCCCCTGTAATTGAATGTAAGCCCTATAAAGGAAAGGGTCTATTAGTTTGATTCCTTTCAATATGGGGATAGCTCCTGTAAAGCTATCTGGCAAATAATACAATCAATAAATATTTATTTAATAAATAAAGGAAAAAAGCAATGTCTTCAATTTCTTAATCACTGTTCCTTTTTCCAGTAATAAGGGTTGGCTTTTCCCATCCTCTCTCTTCTTTGAATTGCTATGCATTTTTCTTTCTTCTGTATTATAATAGTGGGTGATCACTGAGGTCCAAAAATATGCTATTTTTCTCAAATGGAGTAGCTCAGAGTTAAAGAGAATTTTGCGGGGTGTGTTCATAAAACAAAATTTTCTCCTTGAGAGTGGAACTAACCCTCTGCTTCCTCATTCACTTGTTGAATAAACAAATGTCAGGCTGGCACAGTACAACAGAAAACTACCCTGCCCATCCCCCCACCAGCTTATGGTGTTTGTGGCAGAAACCACCACTTATGCTTCTCATTCCCAAAATATATATAAACATATAATCTAGTAAGAACAGTTAAATAACATGTGGTTTCAAAAAGGAAATGAATTTTATAAAGGAAGCGATCTCATTAAATTAACCAGGCTAGGATTATTGATATCTTTAAGAAACCACTGCTGCTTAACTGAGTTTTTGTTGGCAAAGATAGAGTTTATTTTTGTTCCCAATCACACACCTCTTCTCCTTCCAAAGTGTATTAAGAGATTCCCCCTCTTTGTGGACTGAACTTTCCCACCCTATTGCCAGGCTTCTCAGTAATTTCTTTCAGCCAATTGAAAGTGAATTTTTAAGGTACTTGAGTGGTGCAGTTCAGTCTCTGTGTTCCTGTCATCTGCCATGAAGACAGAATGACCCAGATGGGGGCTACTCCTTCAGCCTGGGTCCAACAATGAATAGGCATGTGGAAGGGAGCCAGCCCTAAGCAAGACATGGCTAATCTATAGACCACTCAGAGGCTCATGGACAAAAGATACGGTCCATTCATATGAACTTCCTCAGCAACCTACACTCATCTTCTAAGACCTTTATACTTCTTGCTTCTATTTACTGGGATCTGCCCTAAGTCCACTAGAAAGTAGGTTCCATGAGGGCAGGGAACTTTCTACCCCATTCTCTACTGGCTCTGCAGCTTGTGGGAACATGCCTAGCCCAGAACAGGAACTTAGTATATGTATGCTGAATGAAAATTATTATATTATCATTAGCAGAAATGAACAAGAATCTAGACTTCCTCAATTTTCTTCTGTATCATAATCTAAAGATGTTACAGACATGAATAGGGATATTTTAGGGTAAACTTCAAGAGACAAGGAATTTGAAGGGATTAAAAGTACAAGGATTTATATTTAAAACTATTTGCAGGTTTTCTTGAGGAAAAGAGATAGTTTGAGAATTATCCCATGGGATTGGCAGCCTGTACACTGGAAAACACGGGAAGAGAGAAACAGAGAAGAGAGGAGGTGAAAAGAAGATGGCAGGGTATGTTTTAATTTTAGACTACCCTAAAATTGTAAAGGCAATTCTACTTGGAGAAATCTTTTGCCATTTTATAGCTGCTGCTTGTAGCACAAAGGAATTAGAGGGAGCAGATAGAAATTATAAGAACAAAATATTTTTTCTTGATTTTCTTTGAAAAATGCACAGATGGAGAAATAAAAATGTAATCTAGGAACTGTGATACAATCAAGTTGTTTGCTTTCTTCTACAGTTTAAGTATTTCCACAAGAATGTTGTTTAAACTCTTGTTTCATTAGCAAACTATTTAACACGGTATTTGAGACCAGTGTATTCCTACCGAAGATAACATAAGTATCTAATTAGGTAGGATTCATGAGATTGTTATCATATTAAGATTTTAAATTTCTAGAAAGTTATTGGTTATAAAAGAAAATTCTAAACTCTGATAAAATGTTAACACCATGTCAACAAGATTCCAAATTTGAAAGTCTCTATTCCCTATGATCCCTTAATTTTATTATGCCATTTGTTGGCGCAATAAGGATTAAAGTGGAATTTACTCCTCTCTACCACTTATATAGAAATAAAAGGAACAGTGCTGCAATCCCACTGACCCCGCCATCTCAGTCATGCACTACCTATCGTAGACACTGCAAGAGCTCCAACTGAATGAACATACAACCCTTTGAACCAGAAAACACTTACAAGCAGCCTCTTGTCTAAGTTGGCTTTTCTCAAAGACGAGGTAACAGAGTTGGCATCTTTTTCTGCCATCCATGCTTTAAAAAGCTTGACGGCGAATGAGGCCGCAATGCCTGTAAAAACACAAGAATTTCATTCCTTTTCTGAGCAAAACCCCTTGTGATGATGCAAAAAGCAACACTTCTTCCCAGGTTTCCTGAAATAGGTAAATAACTAAATGACTTAATTTGGTGCAAAGGAAAAATAGACTTTATTTTTTTAATTAATAGACTTCTAGGCAAAGTTCACCTCTTCTCATTATTCAAAACAGAACATTTGCTTGGGAAGGAAAGCAAGTTAAAAAGTTGGACTTCCTGCTTCCAACCTGGTATAACTGTAAATACATTTATCTATTTATTTAACTTGTTCAAAAACATTACCGAAAGTCCAGTATCTTCAGTGTTTTTTGCCTCTTTTTAAAGTTCATCAGTATTTTATATTTATAACTGTGATCTTGAGGCACAAGAAAATAAATCAGGACACATAAAAGTGTAATGTCAACATAAGTCAACTAATGTACTAATAAAGGGGTACAGTAAAAGAACCAATAGCAATAGATATAAGTATAGCTATAGGCAAACACACATCATTTACTGTATAGTTTTACTTTTTGTAATATGATTTATCTCCAAATAGAAATAATCAGATAACTAGGAAATAGTTTTTTCTGTGAAAACTTCAAATTTGCAAATTTATGTTGCATTAATTTAATGAACAGTTATGGTGTAGCTGAAATAGTTAACTGATTTTTCTTAAGTTCTCATTGCTGTATGTGGCTTAAGCAGCCTCTCTACTTTCCTCACTTCCTTTCTTAAGAGAATTCCCATTTTGTCCAGGCCAAGTGACTTTTGATTAGTCTGTCCTGGTACCACCTCCTTCTGCATATTAGTTTAGTCATTTCAGCTCAAGCTCATCAGCCTATGGCACTTCCTTGGTATTTGCTACTAGACCTGTATTGGTCATGTGGCCTGTGCCAGCCAATCAACTGAAGGGAAGATAAATTTTCCTATATTCAGGAGACGTCATCTTTCACTGAACCAGAACCAGGAAACATACACCCTAACTGTACCAGCAGACATCTTATATTGATGAGGGGCACCACCCTATTACCAGGGCATGAAGTTGGCCTGGTAATAGGAAAAAGTACTTGAATCCTAAATGATATTGCTATTCACCCCGAAGTCTGCCCTACTCTAATATGCTGAGGAACTTTATGTTACCAACTTTTAAATTTGTTTTAATGTGAATTTTTAACATTATCATCAACACATAAAATCAATATCAAATGTAATGTAAATGTATGTAATGAAGCCAAAATCAAATTAATACTAGGCTATAACCTGCATTGTAAGTAAAGAAAATAGAGTATGCTCAAAACTAAGAGAGTCTAAAATCTTTTGGTTTTTTTTTTTTGAAACATAGTCTCACTCTGTTGCCCATGCTAGAGTGCCATGGCGTCAGCCTAGCTCACAGCAACCTCAAACTTCTGGGCTCAAGCGATCCTGCTGCTTCAGCCTCCCGAGTAGCTGGGACTACAGGCATACACCACCATGCCTGGCTAATTTTTCCTATATATTTTTAGTTGGCCAATTAATTTCTTTCTATTTTTAGTAGATATGGGGTCTTGTTCTTCCTCAGGCTGGTCTTGAACTCCTGAGCTCAAGCAATCCTCCTGCCTCGGCCTCCCAGAGTGCTAGGATTATAGGCGTGAGCCACCGCGCCTGGCCGAGTCTAAAATCTTGATTTAAACCTATTACTTTGTATTAAAAGTGGCTTTTGGTGGAAAGTTGAGGAAATTTCTTTGCAGTCACTCTTCCCATGGGTAGATGGTCCCATTTCCCCTTGGCCAATTGTTACATGGGCATTGGGGAAAGGTATAATCTTTTTCTCATTAGGAAGCAAGTGTTTAAACCTCTAGTTTCTAGAGATGGTGGAGTTTGAGGAAAATCTATATGACACAGGAAGTGTGTTATTTTCATAGCAAGGGTATTTTTCTACTCTCCTCCCGCCACCCTGACATCTTACTATAAAAATTTTCACACATAAAGAAAAGTTACACTCATATACGCACCATCTAGTTTCTGTAACTGTTGATATTTTGCTATATTCACTTTATCCCACATCTACCATGTATATCTATCCAACAATGTAATTTTTGGACACATTCAAAGGAAGTTGCAGACATCGCTTAGGTTTTTAATACAACTAGAAAAGCTATTATTTTATGTTATGGTGGCTAGGATTATATAATTAATGTTTAATGGTTATGTTTTACCTATGTTTTATGCGTAAAATAGCTAATAGCACAAATACGATGTATGACATTGAATTCTCTTTGGGAAAACACTTTAAAATGTCATAATATTAATAACATAGCATCAACACTTACAGAGCCTGTACTGTGATAAATCTGAGCTATTTTAAGCCAAAAACTATCAAGAATCTCTGAATAATACCATTTGACTCTTGATGTACTATTCTTTTCTTAGCTACGAGAAAACTATAACCCCTTTCACTACAAGCATGAATGAGGCTGGGACTTCATATATGTAGGAGGAAAACTTTTTAAGCTCTCAGAAGAAACAGATGTTCTCACAAAAGCTCTTTTAATTTATTTTTAAGGAAAAATAACTGTGTTTTGTGTTGGATTATTATTTGAATGTGATTATCCTCCTACAAGAAAACAGCCCCCTTTTGTTTCATTCTACAACCATATCATGGTATGCATGCCTGTCAAACTCTTTTAATGCCTTCAAATTGAAACAAGACTCTTTTTAATGCAACAGTCTTAATTTTTTTGTAAAACTGAGACTATGAGTATCTTAATTATGTCATCAAAACGAACATCTAAGCATCAGTTTCTCCACACCTTGATGGGAAACAGTTTAGAAGAGTGGTCCTATTTGGGGGTCAGCTTTAAAAGCGAAGGGGCATTTTTGGTTGTTACAATAAATGCGGTTGGGAGTTACAGCCTGGCCTTTTGTGTCTGAGGGCCAAAAGATCAAATGTCCCACAAAGCACAATGCAGTCATGCACAATGAAGCACTGCTCCTATAAAATATGCCCACAGCACTTAAGTTGAAAGAAATAGATCAATTTCAGGGTATTTGACTGAGGTGTTGAGTTTTATACCTAAGATTTTAATTTGTTAACAGTCCTTCTTTTTATGTCTTTGTACAAGTGTGCATATTTTTTCTTCTAATTTCCTACAATTACTACATACACTCCTTTTATTATTTGAAGGGATATACACACACACATATTTATTCTCTTATGTGAAGGATGGGTAGTAGATGACACTAAAAAGAGCCACTGGAATTTTTCTAACTCTCTGTGGCTTTACTTTTCTTTGGACATGTAACAGGTGAGAGAACAGCGACATCCTTACCTTCTTTGACTAAGCTGTCAGTGAAGAGGCTGGTGAGGATGGTGGCAGGCAGGGTGCCGTTGCCCAGCAGTATGCCCGACAGCATTGCCAACTTTGTCTGCTCTGTTTCGGAAAAGGCTTTAAGGAAGAGGAGAAGCTGTGGGTCAAACAAAAGAAACCATGTCTATAATGCAAAGGACTAAAGAAGGAAGATGACAAACAGCACGTACATCCATGGCACACATGCAGCAGGGCATATGCAAAGCACAGATGTTCACTGGAAACATATATGTTCAATTACAAATTGGTTGCTATGGAAAATGACTTGATCAGGCGTAGTTCCTTTCCTCTAAGTTCACTTATACAGGGCTGTAGGTAACATTCATGAGTAGGAAAAGGGACATTTGGAGAACATGTGAATAGATAATAATTTACATTTGACTATGTGCATGAAAAAGGATAAATATATACAATGGATATAATGTTTTCTGAAATATATTATCTTTGGTATTTTTTACTTATTTGGGTGACCCCATCTATCTTGCTATCTATGTACTTTTCTTTGAAAAACAGAATTTTTATGGCAAAAAAATAAAAAACAAACAAAGCAGGAAAGAGTCAATGTTATCCTTTTGATATCTGATATACACTTTTCTGAGCTCATGGCATATAAGAGTATTCAAAGCAAAACTGTTAAAGGAGAGTGGGGTTTTCTAAGTTTTTGACGCTCTTTGTAAAATGTTTAGATTCCAACATGGTATTTCTTGGATCATACAGTTTTACCACCAGCTTTGGTGATGGGGCAATGAAAGGCAGGAAGTAAAAGAAGTGCCTAAACAGACTGTAGAAAGTTCTCTGATGTGAGTGGGAAAGAGAATTTTGGAGGGGTAATAAGTGAGTGAAGATGTTTCTTGGGCCCCAGTACTCCAATGCTCTTGTGCTAAGAGGAGGAGAACTGAAAAAGTAGCAACCTCAGAAAGTTCCGATGCAAGCCAAAGCAAAGGAGATGATAGTCCACTTATTTTGAATTGTAAATGTAGTCATTCTTGTACCTGCTCTCCTCTGCCTTATGCTTTGACAATACTCCTCTGCTGTTTTCTCTGTTTCACCAGTTGTTAGGCATGCCACTGAGATGCCCTAGGGGCCACTATCACTACAGGGACCTTGCTGATTTTCCATTACTTTGTACCAATGAAAAGTCATTGGCACTGATATAAACTTAAGTGCCCACATCCTAATGATATGATTCGTCCACTAATTTTGTGAGGAGGGTAGGACAATATTAATTTACTATCCCCCAACAAATGAAGGATTATTATGTTACAGAGAGGTTATGTGACTCTCCAAATATTTACATTATTAGTAAGTGAAAAAATTAGAACTAAACCAGCCCATTTGATTTCTAATTTATACCTATTAAATTCTCAACAAATTAAAAAGAAGTCACCATCTATATGTCAGGGAGTGAGAGAATGAAGGTATCAAAGGCTAAAACTCCAGGAAGCACCAGGAATGGGGTAAACTAACAAAAACATAGACAATTCTTATCAATCTGGCCTTTGCCCCCATTATAAAAATGAAGAACAGATAAAAATGAGCAATAAGAAATAGCCTCTAAAATAAAGTTTTAATATTCTCCTTTAAGCACACTAATAACTCATAGTCAGCAAAAAACATATTTGATCATAATAAAATAAGACAAAAATTAATCATTTACAAAAAATAATAATCATATTGTTCAATTATATTGGTCAACATTAAATTCAGATGTTGCATGTTTTGCAACAGAGCTGGCCGTTTAAGAGGGCAATACTATGAAAAAAATACTTCTTGAGAGTATATTCACCATATGAATGACAGAGTTAAGAAAGTTTTCAAGGTTTAGATGAGCTGTGAAGAGTAAAAACATGGATTGGTATTAATAGACAAAACCATGCTTAATTGATTTGAACTTTGTACCATTTTCTTCTCAACATTTCCATTCCTTTATTTAATCAAGCTCTTGTTATTTTCTGAGCAACTGGCAGTCCATTAGAACCATTTTTTTTCCATTTAAAATTCTTTCATATTTAACATATCATTTTTGAACAAAATCAAACAATGTCAAATAATACAAACATGTAAAAAAAATACCCTCTCTAATTCTACTCACTAAGAAGTAACATTGCCAGTTTGATGTACATCCTTCCAGATTTTTTAATATACTTATATATAACTTGCCCAAAGTCAAACTACTACCAATTATTTGTTCTGCACCTTGTTTTTTCACTTAATTTGTCTTGGACATTTTCCCTTATCAATTAATGTAGTCATGCCTCATTTTTTAAAAAGACTGCATAGTATTCTACTGTTATTGAAAAACCATAATTTAACCAGTCTCCTTTAGTAGGAAACTGGTTAGTTAAATTGTGGTATTTCAGAATGTGATGTCATCTTTATATATATAGCTTTATATAGCCATGCTAAAGGATTCTTATAAGTGAGACAGTTGTGGATTATGTAAAAATTTTTTTCAAATGACTTTACTGCCAAATTGTTCAATATTATGTACAGTATCACTTTGAACAGGGGGAAATGAGTAAGTAAACTACAAGTTGATGTTATGGTTACTTTCTTCATGTGGTTTATACTTTAGGCTGATGTCTAAAATTCAAAACAATGACAAAGCAACATATAAATCTGTAACAAGTTAATACAATGGGTGCTATATATAAATACAGAGTTAAACAGATTAGAAGAGGGAACATGTAACCATTACTAAAAAGAGGATTTCTTAAGAAAATGCTATTGTTCACTTGGCTCCTTATTAGAGACCATTTACCATGCTATCCACCTTATATGGTATCTCATTTGTTCCCACAACAAACATAAGGTATATACTCTTATTATAGCTATTTCACTGATTGGAAAAAGCACTGAGATTTATACTCAGATGCTTTATCTCCAAATATGTGCTTTTATCGCCTTTGTTAAATTGCATCTTCTACTATTAAAGAATTTTATTGAGCATTAGCTGCTGTGTTTTGCTCTTTCATGGGCTTTAACGAATTAAATCACCTTTATCTTGATTCTTGCCTTGATATATTTATCTTATCTATCTCAAAATCTCTAGTTTTCATTTTAACCTCTGTGAGGCCAGAGATCATATTCTGTAAAACTATTCCTATTGAACAAAGCAAACTATGTCACATTAAATATTAATGGGAAAAGTCCTCCATAGTCACATATTTCTTCCTATAGCTATCAGCTAATGATCTATCATACTCATTCACTTATTTACCATAATAAACATTTATTAAAAACTTGCTATGTACATGGCACTTTGGGACTATTATTGTATATGTAAAATTTTTGCACTCTTCCTCTTCCATCACTTTAAATAGATAGGCAAATATTTGAGTTTTACCTTTTTCATTTCATCCTCAAATGCTTTTTCCAAATACTTATATCTCCTGATGAGTTTATTGAAGACCTAAATATAAAACAGAACCATTAAATACCACGTAAACAATTTTTAAAAAGCACAGAAGGAGGCATAGAAACTCACCATAACTACACCATAGATCTATAATAATAAAAATGCATAAATGAACTCATACTGTGATATGAGAACTACAAGTTCAATCACTATGACCTAGGGACAAAAACAGGCTCAAAATGCACACAGAAGATAAAACAAATTCATTCAAGAATATAACAGGTAGAAAAACAAAAAATAACTTTGATGAAAATAAAATGAATGTAATTTTGAAATGACGAGATGCAGATTGAAAATAACTGAAATGAAAGAGTGAAAGACATAATCACTTAGCTAATGACATGATGGGGAGGAAAGCACAGCACAGAGGAGATTACGCTCCAGGTGGGCAACAATCATGTTTGCAGCAGATAAGCAAAAAATGTTATAACTTCCTGGCAATAAAGGATTACTGGCCCCCGCAATCCAGTTAGAACTCTGAAGCAGGGCTTGCAATCACATCAGTGGGATTCGAGACTGCTTTGTAAGTGGAATTGTGTTGCTAGTTAAATAGGGATTTTGTAAATGTTGGTTATTTTAATAACTGTGGTAATGATTTCCTAATCTGGTTTTTTTTCTATCCACATGCTCTACTCTTACAACTTTTGGAATGATGACCTAGGCAGAGAATTAGTATGCGATAATAAGAAGAAATAAATTGCATTAAAAAGCCTATAAATTTTATTTCCAACTTAATGCTAATACTCATATATTGCTTACTATGATTATTAACAGAAAAAATAATTCTCTTATCCAAGAATAACGATTTAAATTCCCAGAGGTAAACATAAGAAAGCAAAAGTCAAATTACAAAAGTACTGTTGAAAGAGGTAACAGTTTATAAAATTAATCTCCACTCAAATATCCTTTTCCATCTAACTTTTCTCTCTGCCTGACTTTTCTTTGACCAGGATTTTTTGTCACTCCATAAGCATGCAATAATTTTTAAATTTAAATACAATAACATAGCAAATTCATCCAATATCTATATTTCATATGAAAAATAAAATCATTTGTAACAAGAAACTATGCTATTTAGATATAATGAAGAGGCAAATTCCATATCTTTCTGTTTATGGGACCAGCTGTTCTGACTTTTCTTCTAGGCCTTCTTATTTTTCTTTGCCTTGGAATATAAATAACAATACATCTTGTATTTGTGTTAATTCGATCTTGAAAACAATTCTGTGGGGAAGGTAAGGCAGGCATTATCATTATTTGCAGACCTGGCAACTGCTATTAAACATCAAAGCAGGAATAAGAACTTAGAAATAGTGATCCCTAGTGAACTGCCCTTATCTAATATATGAAAAAGTGAGTAGGACATTTTAAAAGATCAGGTTTTGAACTGAGTATATTTACTTCAGTATACATACCTTCTCAAGGTGTTTAAAGTCATTGCATACATAGTAGAAGCAAAGATGTTTAGAGGAACAGGTTAGAGCCTGGCCCACTCAATCTTGCCTGCTTAACCTTCTGCTCTGTCTAAAAAATATTTTTTGTTTTTATTTGTTATACATTTCTTAAATATAAAAAAGGAGACACATATCTTTGCTAAAAATAACATGAAATTAAAAATCATTTTTAAGAGTTTAAATCCTTAATAGCCACATGTAATTTCAAATTACTTGGCTTATACATTTTAATAAAGACATGGTTTCTATCATCTGAAATGCCATCACTTAGCCATAGTTAATTCCTCGGCCCCTTTCATCTAATATACTGAAATGTGTATAACAAGTCTTAAGACTTGCCCTAATTAGTTAAGTTGGGAGTAACGAATGACTTCTAGAAAGAGTCAGTAATAGAATCAGAATAGGAACACGCAAACCTTAAGCTGACTAGTTATTATGCATAGATATTTAGCTGCATAAAGTAATATCTAATAGGCTGTTCCATTTTATACTCCCTTCACTTCCTGACCTTTACTATGGCTAAAGACTCAATTTTTATTTAATGCACACAAAATTACATCTCATGATTTTAATTCAAATTTACCTAATTACTAATGAGTTTGAAGAAACATGTCTCCCATGCCGTTTATTTTTTTGGGGGGATTTGTGTTTCTTCTCCTATGAAATGCCTGTATGCATCTTTTCCTAATAGGGTGTGTGTCTTGCTTACTGACTTATAGTTTTCTATTTAATTTAGATATGAATCCATTACAGGTTTTAAGCATTATAAATATTTTCTTGCCTCTTTCTAACAGCTACATAGTAGTCTATTAATATGAACTACCAAAGTTTATTTACTAGTCCTTTAATTGATTTTATATTGTTTTCATTCTTTGATATAATCACAAGCAATACAACAATGATTACTACTGTATGTGTTGTTTCACACATGTGCAGGATGAAGTCCCAGAAGTGAAATTACTGAGTTAAAGGGAATGTGCAGTTTTAGTTTTGGAAAGAGTACAAAATTGCTTTCCTAGAGGTAGGACCTATTTATACTTCCACCAGAATTGCTGTGAGCATGTGGCTCCCCATGAGAGGTAAAAATAGATAAGTAAATAAAAACAAAAAACATATCTTCTTAATGCCCATTGTCTTATTAAGAGTATAACTGAGTATCTTTTCATACATTTAAGAGCTAACATTCCTATTTAAAAATGGGCTGTTTATTTTCTGAACCTAAATGTGTTCCTTAATACTGTTCAAATGCTTCCCTTCTAACATAAGTAATCTCTCAGTGACAGGCTCTACCTGAGCATAGTTGCGGATGGTTTCATGATCTTCATTTGCTGAAAACACACAGTGGTTGGTCTTCTTGGTCTTGTCACCATCATCTATGCGTGTTCCTCCAGGGGCTGAAAAGAGGAAGGTAATCACAGTTAGGATAATAGTAAAAATTGAGAATAGCCTTTGCAGAACAGATCAATTCTGACACATCAACTAAAACAATGAAAGTAGATGTATAACCTAAGAATCACTTAAAATTTCAAAGAATGATATGCATATGTGGGGTGTATAGATGTTGCTGTATATTTGTTTATGTTATAATATAATATGGTTCTTGGGTGGGGTGTTAACCAGTTGAGTCAGTTCCTTGGTATGGGCCACTGGTCTGCAAGGGTCAGCCTTCCTACTGGAATTCAGGGCCTGGAAGATATCTCAGAACTACCTTTAGGCTTCGAGAAGGATGATGTTATCTATGAGAAAGTTAAGAGTCTCTATGACCACCAGCTATGTGACTCCACAGCGTAATTATAGAGAACAAACAGGGTGACAGTGAATGAGGGACAGTGGTTGGATTATTATCATTACTTTTAGTTAGCTAGTCGGTGCCCTCGCTGAGTTTTAGGCCCTTACCACAGTTCTTGCTTTGTACCCCTTTGTTGACTTGTAAAAGGTGGTTTTAATCTATAACCTTAACCATGAAAGCTACACTAATAACCTTTAATCAATGAAATTAATTCCATTATTCTAATGCAATTCAAGATCTTTTCCACATCAGGACATGGTTCTCTTTTCAGACTTGATAATGTCTTGTGGGAGTCTAGTTCATCAACTATAGAGTGGATCAGAATTGACTCTTACAGATCTTTTTGCTTTTACTTGGGTGGCCATTTAACACTGCTCCCTCCTTCACTAACCCAGCTACCAGTGTATGGTTGAGCAGCCTGCACTCTAATTCCTTACCATTTGAATTTGATTACTCGGCAGGCATGTTGGCCAGGAAAGTATTTTATTCTCTCTCATCTTTTCCCCATAGACTAGAACAAAAGATGCCTTTTTTCTCCCAATTCAGCTTTCCATATTCAAAGGCTCCTGCACTGGTTGATTGGAAGAATGGAATCAGAACAGAATGGTATTTCTGTTTTCTGATTTGACTTCACATGTAATTAAGGTAGAAAGTTTGACAGGCAAGTGAGTAGAAAGACAAAGACTTTCTTCCATTAACCAGGCCACTCCTGTTATCTGTGTTTTAGTATATCAGCCACTCATGTTATTTGTGTTTTAGTGTATAACTGCCCTTGATCTTGGACTTGTGATTTCAGATCTCTGGATGAAAGGGGACACACAGAGCCACCTTTATTAGTAGACACAGGCGCGAATGAGAATTCAGTTGAATTATATTCTCCTTAGCCTATCACTTCCTCTATAGGCTTCAGACTCCAGCATACAATTTCAAGTAAATTAGTTTTTGGAGGAGTCAGCTCCTTCCAGGAGTCTATTTTCACTGATATTAATATATGCATGAGATTTAATTATGCCTTTTTAATGAATACAACCACCTGGAACAAAATTTTATTAGATGAAATACCTTTAAAAACTCTGGGCTAATTATTCCTACCTGATAGAAATTTACATAACTGAAAAGTCTGGTTTTGAAACTGTAGACTTTTCTTTTAATAGCTAGTTTTAAAAGTTACATTCTTATACAGAACACTTATTGCACACTAATAATATTGCTATAGCTTGCATTCCAATTTATTTTTCCTTATATTGGCGACCAACTATTAGCTGGCCATTTCTAATCATTTTTGGAGTGTCTGCTGTTTTCTTCAAGGTATAAGTAAAAGTAAAGTACTTCTTGTAGTATTATAGAAAGGGTAAAACTGAAAGACACAAGATGGCTGTTGTTTCAAGAAAATGAGAGAAAGTAAATTTTTTGTGTGTGTGTGAAGAAAATTCCTACATACTTAATAATTAAACAAGTGTTCATATAAAAAAGAAGGCATCTCGGCCGGGTGGCTCATGCCTGCAAATCCTAGCACTTTTGGGAGGCTGAGGTGGGTGGATCACTTGAGGTCAGGATTCAAGAGCAGCCTGAGCAAGAGCAAGACCCCGTCTCTAATAAAATAGAAAACTAGCCAGGTGTGGTGGCATGCCACCTATAGTCACAGGCTACGTTGGGGAGGCTGAACAGAAGGATTGCTTGAGCCCAGAGAGTTGAGTGCTGTAAGCTAGGCTGATGCCACAGCACTACTAGCCTGGCAACAGAGTGACACTGTCTATACAGATTAATTTAATATGGGGGAAGTCACTAAAAAGGTGCATCCAGAGACATGGGAGGAGGTCTGGGTGGTCTCATGTAAGGAAGAGTATAAAGTAACTCAGGAATGACAGGAAGCATCAACAGTGCTGCCTGGAGGTCACTCAGGACTGAAAAGGGACCATCCTGACAGACTAACACATTTATGTATGATTTAAAGAAGAATCAAAGTCATTGAAAATTATTCTGTATTGAGTTTACCAGTGTGTTGATAAAAATTGCCATATTTAATGAAATACGAAAAGCCAATAATCATATCAGGAAATGTTCAAATTTCCACTATTGACTTAAAAATTTTAACTGTAAAATTTATCAGTAACCAATGCACAAAGATATAAAAAACTGACAGAATTGGAGTACCTAACATGCTAAAGGACTCAAGATTTTTGACAAAAATGTTAACCAGAACATTCTTTTGAAAGGCTGGCTTCTCAGATAGTAGGATATAGATATAAATATCTCCATCCTTTAATCCATCAATCCTTTGCTAAGTAGATGAAATATAAGACCACAAAGATAAGTATGCACACAGACATTGATGACATTTGTTTTTATAACAGCAAAAAGTGGAATCAATTAAATATTCTTTAACATCAGTTTGGCTTTAATTCGTTTTAGAAGTCATCCAGTGTAACACTTATGAGTGGTGAAAAGTAATAACATATTACTGAATGAATATAAATTAGCATGTAAAGCATCATATTTGTATAATTCATTACAAATTATTTGTATCACCCAATTTTCAAAAGTTTATGAGGTAAAGAGATTTCTAGAAGGGAATTAACAAAATGTTAGAATGATTATCTCTGAGATATTGGCATTTGGACACACCATAGATGTCTTATGTTTATTTTTCCTCAAGAAGACACCCTAATCCAGGATAGTAGTATGTCTTAAAGAAAAAAAAAAAAAAAAAAAAAAAAAGACACCTAGGGCTTATTTTCAGGGGATGTGTTATTTCCCCTCAAAGCCTCAGCTTGCAGCACACACAGGATGGCCAGGACCTGACATGGGGAGCCGACCTGTTGGTGGGGCTGGCCCACACCTTTCTGGTCACCTCTGGGATAGTAGCTGTCATGATGGGGCAGATGAGAAGGGCTGCTCATTTTCTTTACCGCTCCGCGACAAAATGCATGGGGTGGTGCAGATACGCTGCGTAGCCATGCCCATCACTAGGGATTATTTTATGGGGTAGGCTTATTTTCTAGAAACACAGTATAATGGGGCATGTATCAAAACAGATTGCTTGAAATAAGAGCCCAGAGAAAAAAGAATTTAAGGGCAGCTCCACCTCAAAATAGAGGAATGTATTCACTGTGTCTCAAAGCCAAGGAAGATTGCCTCAAGCAGTGTTTCTCAAGAAAAGGCACTGTGGCATTTCTTTCACTTCCTGGTATGTCCCAAGTAGGGAAGGTTAGGCTGCATACCTGGACCCCACCCTGACGTCTTTGTAACAACCAAACACTTCCACATGTTTGCAAATTGAAAATCACTGTCCTAGGAGATTTGACCACTTCTAGTAATTAATGGCTACCACAGGTACTAATTATAAGAAATAAGGTCTAAAAGAATAAAGGAAAAATAAGTGGTTACGATACCTAACAAACACTTGGACCAATGATTAAGACACTTACATAGTAATCTGAAGCCTTCTTACCTAATGTCTCTGCTCCATAAAATGAAGCTTTCATTTTACTTTTACCTACTTTATTAATTTCTAGTCTTCTATCTTTAATTCTCCCAACTATATACTCACGATCAAAAGGATTTAAAAAAAAAAATGAGGTTTAGGCTAGGCAAGGTGGTTCACATCTGTAAGTAATCTCAGCAATTTGGGAGGCCAAGGAAGGAGGATCACTTCAGGCCAGGATTTGAGAGTAGCCTGGGCAATATAGTGAGACCTTGTCTCCATGCAAAATAAATTAAAAAATTAGCCAGGCACAGTGGTGTGCAGCTGTAGTCCCAGATACTTGGGAGGCTAAGGCAGGAGGATCATTTGAGCCCAGGAGATTGACGCTGCAGTGAGCTATGAGCTATGATCCTGCCACTGTACTCCAGTCTGGGCAACAACACAAAGCCTATGTCTTTTAAGAAAAAAGGAGCAAGGTTCAAAAGAAAAGCTGCTATGTGACATTTGGGTTCATTATACAAGAAGGATCTAGATGACATGCACTAAGTTATGTGCTTCTGCAGAAATTAGCCTTTTAATGAACCCTCAAAAACATTCAAAGATTAGGGACACTGGGAAAGTTAGCTTTTAGCCAAAGCAAAGTGGCCACCTGTGACCAAATGTCAACAATAACCCTTGTTTCTATGCCTTTCTTAACCAATAATCACCCACATTAATACCATTCCAAATTGTAAGGCAAAAAATTATGGACTCCCATTTGTGTTTTACATCAACTCTAGTAAATATATAAGCTTATAAAGATTCTATCTTATAGGGAAATACTTAAGTAGAATTGGAAATACACACACACACACACACACACATACACACACACACTACTAGAAGATGTGATAATGCATGGCTTACCAAGCATACTGCCAGCCACCAAAATATCGAAGAGTGTGTCCGCATAGCGACGATAATCTAATCTTGAGCCTGTAGAGTCCAGGAACTTGGCTACAGCTTCAAGGTCATCACCAGCTTCGTTAAGCCCCTGGACAAGTGTATCCCTGAAAACTGTGGGTTCAAATTTCTCTTTTTCATCTAAAATGAAAAATTCATAAGATTATTCCTTTGTGTACGTATCATATTCTCCAAAGATACTAACCGTATATTTACTTTGTTCACAGGGCTGTTTGATAATGTGATTATTTAAAAGCTAAAGGACAATTTAAATTTTTCTATCAGATTTCCATGCTCTGAAACTCCTTATTTAAACATTTACTCAAATAATTTATTTCTGTTCAATATGGCCACAGAAATGTTTAACTCTAATACACAATATAATTGATGATTATCTATGTTTGTCACTTATAGGATAGGCCAATGTAATCGACTAACCCTAATCAGAGAAAAAAATAGAGAGTATAACAATCAAAATTTAAATTTTTATTTCATCTGAGATAGAAAATGACCCACAGAGAATCACCAAATAATACAAGAAAATATATAGATATAAATAAGAAATAAAGATTGGGAGGGGAAAATAAGGAGAGATGCCTCTTTAAAAGATAATTTATTCCAGAATACTTAAATATTTAATAAATGCCATGAGCTACATATGTATATTTATAGCTTCAGAGCAGATGTTCTAAACTTTTTGGTCTTATGACCCCTTGACACTCTAAAAGTACTGAAGATTCCAAAGAGCTTTTTCATTTATGGAGGTTATATCTATGGATACTTGTTTTACTAGAAATTAAAACAGATAATTGTAGAATATGTATTCATTAGCATTGATAAGACTGATATAGAAAGGCACAAGGGAACTGCAATGGTGAACGGCACACATGTGTGGTAAGATCAGGATTTGGAAGGAGTTTTAGTCTAGACTCTGTCTAGCAAGACTTCTTTTGGAAGACTGGTTTGGAGCCAGGTCTTGAACAAAGCAGAGATCATATAATGTTGAAAAATGAAGATGACAAACCAGAGGTCAGACTAGGAAGAAGAAAATGAATATACTAAAGGTAAAGGATGGAAGATTCAATTCTAAGGACATTACCTTTCCCCACCCTGCCCCCAACCCATGGAGAATAAATCTGGAAGTTGGGAGAGAGGAGTAAACGAACTCAACATTTCAAAAGAAAAAACTGTATCATAAATATCTTTAGAGAGCTAAAGTGAAGATGCTGCAACTTGAAGAAGAAGAAAAGGAGGAAGGAGGAAAGGAAGGAAAAGGAAGAGAAAGAGGAAGAAGAAGGAAAGAGAAAACTATAAAAATATTTTATAAACAATAAAAGAGTTATTGGGAACAAAAAATAGAAAAGTGAAAAACTCAACGGAGGAATTAAAAGAGAAAGTTAAGAATATCTCTTAGAAACTAGAATAAAAAGACCAAAGGCTTTAAAATAGTAGCCAAAAAAAAAAAAAAAAAAAA